AGTGTACCTGAGGATGATCCGCTTGTGCCTGGGTGTGTCCCTCAGCGCGCCTGTTGTTCCTCTGTGTCTGGCTGTCCTTGAGGGTATTTGCCTGCCTGTGCTCATTTGCCTTCTTACTCTTGATTGTCTGTGGCTCTGAGTGTGACTGCCCCAGCCTAACTGAGTGTGTGTCTGTGCCTTTGTGTATCTGTGTTTCAGCGTGTGGTTGTGTCTGTTCTCTTTGTGCCTGTGTGCCTGTATGTTCCTTGAGGGGGGTGTGTGTGTGTTTATGTCCATGTGTATGCCCATGTCCCTGGGTTTTCCTCGGGAAGAAGGCCATGTGCCTGTGACTGTATATCCGGGTGTGCCTAGATGAGTATTTGTCAGTGTGTACGTGTGATTTCTTTGCACATGACCCTCGGTGTTTGGCATCTTTGTGTGTGGTGGGGCCCAGCTGTGTGTTGAACAGTGTACTTGTATGTCCTCCAGAACCTACTTCTCCATGTATGTCATCGTGTGTTCCTGTAAGTGCCCTGAGTTTGTGTCCTGGAGTGTGGCTCTGTGTCCAGGAGCTCCTGGCTCTGTGCCCTCCTCAACTTCACTCCCTGCTGCCTGAGTGAGCCGACACCTGCTCCCTGAGCCCTGGGCCCCCTCCTCCCACCTGGCAAGGACAAGGAAGGACACGGAGACAGAGGCAGGCAGAGAGGCAGAGACAGAGATACTTGGAAGGGGACACAGAGAGCCAAGCAGGCTGCAGAGGTGGTGACCCAGAGTCATGTGATCAGCCTCAGAGCCCAAAACACAGAAGAGAGAAACAGAGATCCAAGATTCAGACATTAGAGAGACCCAGAGTCACACAGAGACCCAGAGCACCAAGTCCGGAACTGCTGAAACAGACCAGAGATCAAGGATGTGGCTCCCCAGCCTCCCTCCCTCTCTCCCTCCCTTCCTCCCGCTCTAGAGTTTCCAGCCCCAGCTGTGCCTCCTCCACACACCCAACGCAGAATTCTCTTGGCCCTGAGAGTTTGTGCCCTAGGACTGGAACCCAGCCCCCTCCTGCAGCAGCTGGCTGTGCGTGTGTGCATGTGTGTGCGTGTGCACATGCACGCGAGTGCTCCAGTGTGCATGTGCTACCATCTGTGTGCTATTCCTGGCTGGTGCCTACAATTGCACACGGCCCTCCCAGGGCCACAGGCATACACACGGACATAACCACACACACACACAGCCCTTAAGGAACATACAGGCGCACAGGCACAAAGAGGGCAGACACAACCACATGCTCAAACACAGATACACAAAGGCACAAGCACACACACACCTCCCCCTTCACACACACACACTGTTGTCCACATTTTCACTGGTCCAGATCATGCACACCTTCATACACATGTCACACAGTCAGCCACACTCATTCACACCCGGAAACATGCCCTCAGTCTCCCTCTCTCTCCTCATCTATACACAGGGCCAGAAGATTCACCATGCGCACAGCAGGTCTCACCTTCCTCAGTTCCCCCAGCCTGCCATTTGCCCTTCAGCAACCCCTGTGACCCACAGGGAAAGACAGAAGACCAAATGTGTCAATTCCATCAGGCCACACACACAAAGGCAGGAACCCCATGTGTCTTGTTCACTGTTGTATCCCCAGATGCCTGGGACAGTGCCTGGAATCTTGTAAATGCTTAAGAAATATTGGTTAAATGAATGTGTTCACATTGTGTTTCTAAGAGTCACTGAGAGAACCCATGGTAATTTACAACCAGTCATTCAGTGAAAATGACTTGACGGGTACCCTAGTGTACACACGAGAAAGCATTTTATGCACACCTTGGACAACACGTTAAACATGTGTGTGCACACAGGTGGCTGCTTGTGTGCAAACATTCAGCACAATAGCTAGATTCAAGGTTTTCAACTTTGGCTGCACATTGGAACCACCTGGGGAGCTTTTAAAAATCCCCATGCCAAGGCCCCACCCAGCCAACAGATAAAATCTCTCTGGGGTGAGAACCACTGATCTAGATGAATGGACTCGAAAATGTTGACGTAAGGATTATTACCAAGAATGGGGGTAGTGCGGGTTTTCACTTTGAACAGTATAGTGAAGCAGACTCCTGAAGATTGCTTGGGTTTCAATGGTGGTGTCACTAGTTCCTTATTGAGATGTCTTTGTAAGTGACCTGTCTGTACCTGAGTTTCCTGTCTGTAAAATGGGGATGATAATCACTACAATACAGCCTCATGGGATTGTCATGGGGATGGAATGAGTTTATAGATCTAGTTTAGAACAGTAACTAGTACATATATTATATAATTATTTCTTGATCTATCATTTAAATTTTTAATCACAGAATGAATGAATTTGGGGATGAATTTTATAAGCAAGACTTTTTCACCTTTGTTATGAAAAAGCAATGGTTCAGAGTCAGACTCTGGGTCAACCTACTTCTGCCACTTCCTGTGGGATCTTGGGACAGGTTACTTTGTTTCTCTGAACCTGTCTTCCCATCTGTAAATGAGGTGAATATTTTTCTCTACCTCAAAGATTGTCCTGAGGAGTAAAAAGCCTCAGGGAGGGGCTTAATAAACAGTGGCAAAATCCAAATACCTAGGAGCCAAGTTGCCTTGATGAATTCTGGGATCAGGTGTGGGATGGTGGCTGTGAAGGGCCAAACTTCTGAGCAGGGTCTCTGCTCCCCTTCCTTCAGAAGCCTGAGGGCCCAAGGGCCAAGAGAACCTTCCATCCCAAGGGCTGTGCCCTTGGCCCTGGCAGCTCCCCCGAGTCTGCTCTCCGAATACACCTCAGGTCCCGCCCCCCCACCCCCCCCAGCCCAGACTAAGCCACAGACCCTAGACTGAGACCCCTCCGCTTCCTGAGCTCCAGGAGCCGCCTTTTCACCTTTCAAGGAGCCCCCGTCCTCCTCACCCAGCCTACCGCCCATCCCGGAAACCACAAGGCCTTCTCTGGGTTCCATCCCTCTCTGGGCGCCCCTCTCTTTTCAGTGAAACCTCACCCCTCCTACAGAGCCCTCTTGGAGTTACAGAGCCCCCTTGCAGGGCTATAATTACCTCCCTCAACTCCCATTTCCTTCCTGGGCCACCCCTCCCCACCCCCACCCCAATTCCCGGGCACACCACCCTTCTGTGTCCTTCCTCTCGCTGAGCGCCGGCAATGCCTTCCACCGAATAAGCCCTCCACTACCCCCTTTCCCCTCGGCACCCCCTCCCCCCGCCCTCAGTACTGCTCACCGGGGCCCCACCCTCTACCCAGCCTGCCCCACCCTCTACCCAGCCTGCCCCACCTGGACTGCCTCCCTAGGTCTCCTCCGCTTCCTCAGCAGCCAATGAACGTACTCATTTTCTCCCTGCAGGCGACTCTTGGGGCTGAAAACAAACATCTCAAGGCCTCCCCCGCTGGTCCCTTTGAGGCCACCCACCCACCCCTTCCAACCAGCCTCCCCCCCCGCCCCGCCCCTAGCCCTGGGGTGACTTTGTGAAAGCCTTCTTTCCTCCCCAAACAGACAAGAGTCTCCTCGTGGATCTAGCCACGTGCAGCTTTCATCCCCTGGCTCTATCCCTCTACGGGAACTCCCTGGTTCTTCTGCCTCTACCCTGGTCTCGGCCTCCAGGAAACCCTTGCAGGTCTTACCACCCCTGCCAGTCCCACCCCACTGCAGCCTGATGCCTGGGTCCTCACTGTGCAGGAGCGTGAGTCTTGAGACTGCAAAGGAGGGGGGCTTGGTGGGAGAATGAACCTTCACATCCAGCACAGAGACTGAAGTTTTGGGGGCTGTTACTTGCCCCCGTCTGAACCCTCCGGCGTCTTCTTTCAGACAGGGATGCCCAGAAGTTGGGGGTTTATCTTCTCTCAGATCGAGGGTTCCTCTGACTCTCCCAATGCCTGGGCCATGCTGGTTGGGTGGGGTGGGGGGGCAGGTGGTATGGAGCTGTCCCTTGGGGGTCACCTTGAGCCTCAGCAGGGAGGGACACAGAGCAGAGCTTTAATATAAACGGGGGCTATGGGAAAAGCTGCTTGCTTAGGACCAAGCAGCCCAATGTGGGCATTATTTGGTCAAGGGCAGCCAAGAGCTCGTCAAGGTCAGGGGGTGGGACACAGTTCGCCCTGCCAGGTCTACCAGAAATAGGCTCAGGATTAGGAGATTTCTTTTTCCAAAGTTTACAGAAGCTGGGAGGAAATCCAGACCTGGCCTTTGGGGTTCAGGGTGGAAAGACAGGGGAAGGCAGAAATGTTGGGGTCACTGGCCTAGTCAAACCCTGCAGTTTGCATAGGCAGGTGAAGGTGTGTTGGGGCAAAAAAGTGGGAGAGGGGGGTGCTGGAGACAAAGAAGACCCAGGCCTTAGGATAAACAGGGGACATGCAAACAGGGGATGCTCCAGTCCTTGTGGGGAAACGGGGTGAACCACAAGGGTTCTTGCCCTTAGGATGGATTGAGTGTCTCAAAGACAAGTATCCTGAACCGGAATATAACTGTGGGGCCCAAAGGCTGGGGGGGGGGGGGGCACAGGACAAATGAAGGGGATAGAGTCAGAGACCCAGGGCTGAAGATGGAGTGAGGGGGTCGAGAAGCAGGGGGGGACCCAAGACCTGATTTATAATGGGGGTTCCTCAGGGAGAGGAAACCTAGGACTTGGGGGAGAATAGGGGTCTCAGAATCAGGGGAGACCCAGGACCTAAAGCAAAATGAAGCTATAAAAGGTAGACCTTGGACCTGGGACAGAATGCATCAGGGCCTAGGAAACTTTGGGGCTAAGATTGAGGAGCCCAGAGACAGGGGAGACCCAAGGCCTGGTGTGCAAAGAGAGGGGCCCAGATGCAAAAGTGACACAGATCTCAGGCAGAAGGAAGAACTCTGAGGGAGGGAACGTGGCGGAGGTATTTCAAGTTCTCCAGGGACCCGGTGGACAGTGATGACCCCCAGCTGTCACACCCCTTCCATTCTGTCCACCCTCATTCACCCCCTTTCACAAGACACGAGGTTGTTTTTTTGTTTTTTTTGTTTTTTTTTTTTTTGCTTTTTTTCATTTCTTTTTAATACAAACTTGGATCTTTGGGTGTGTCCTGCCAACAGAAAACAACAACAACAACAGAAGAGAAAACCCAAAAGAGTGAAAAATAAGAAAGAAAGAAAGAAAAAAATAAAGCTCCCGCAAGAGGTTCTTCTCCCTCCCCCCCACCATGCGAATTTGCACACCACGGGACCACAGCAGGTTTACAGAATGCAATATACAATCCACGATTTATAATAAAACAGTATATACAATAAATAGGATATTGTTCATTTTTGTCAAACGACCTGTAGATAAATTTCTCAGTGCATACTTGCAGGGGCTCTGGACACCGTGAGGCCCCGCTCGCAACCTCTTGCACACGCGCGCGCTCTCTCTCTCTCTTTTTTTTTGTCTTTTTCTAAAACTGTGTTTTGTTTTTTAAGTTTTGTACATTTTTAAAAAGTATTTACAATTGCTGGTTTTGTGCAGAAAGGGCTCACCTTCGGCTTCTGCGTGGAGGAGATGGACAGGGAGGGGTGGGAGCAGGGGACAGGGCTGCAGGGGGTGCGGGCAGGGGGTGGGCGGCAGGAGGCAGAGGGGCAGGCAGAGGAGGACGATGTGGACGCTGGGAGGGGTCTTGGCGTTGATTTTCTGAAAGCTGCAAAGAAACACAAGAGAAGAGGCAGAAGTCAGTGGCAGGGACAGACTCTGAGCTCCAGGAACAGGGAGTCTAAGAGCAGGAACCCCCACCCAGTTCACCCAGAAGTGAACTGCCTTGTTCCTCCTCCCAGAAAATTCCAAACAGCCCTGCTCATGAAACTCTGGCCTGCTTCTAGCCTGCTTTGAGCTCAATTTCCCCACTGGTAAGATAGATGTGTGCCCAAGGCCCACACCACTGAGGGATAAAGGATGTGCTGGATAAGAAGGTGGAGTTTCAGGCAGAACAACCTGTTAAGAACTTGAGCTCCTGAGTCAGACACAGCTGAGCTCAAATGCTAGCACCTCCATTTCATAGCTCTATGACCTTGGGCAAGTCAGTGGATCTCTGCGGGCCTCAGTTTACTCATCTGTAAAAAGGGGATAACAGAACTATCCCGTGTATTTGTTGGGAAGATTCAGTGGTTTGAGGCAGATTACACCTGGTCCATAAATGTATCATAAGTGATACTAATTAGCACGAGTCATTATATTCTTGGGGCCCGGGCCAGCTAGGCTCTCCAAGTCTTAATTTCCTAATGTAACAGTAAGTTTAGTAATTCCTCCTACTGAGGCTGTTCTGAGGAATGACATAATGGGAAGACAAGGCCCTAGCACAGCACAGGTGTGAACTGCGGCTTTAATTTCTTCCGAATCCAACCTTCTCCCCATTCCCTACCACTGCCATTCTGTTCCTTACAGAGGTGAGGTGATGAGGAAGTCTGTCAGAATAAAGGAAAAAAGACAACAATAGCATCTGTGTTGTCTGCAGCCCCTGCCTTCCAGAAGCTCAGAAACTTCCCCAGTCCCTACAATCATCAGACACTAGAGATATGAAGTCACCCACTTCCCTAGATGGTCCTAATTATGTTTGCAGGGCTCTGGGGACCTGATTTCCTATCCAGACCCCAGCTTTGCTGGGGTGAGCAGGAAGATGTCCAGTGGGGAAGTGATAGTCTCAAGACCTCTAGTTTCTAGCCTGGCTCTTTTGGGGGTCCATCTTCTGAGAGCCCTAAAATTTACGTCTCCTATACTTGGTGAGTGAAATGCCACTGAAATTAACGGGCAGGCGTGGGGGGTGCTAGAACCACCTTTTGAGACTCCTTCCCCACCACCAGCAGCCACTGAAAGCCTTTCCTCTCTTGTCCTCTTTCTTGGCTTCCCTTTCCAATGGGGCCACATTTAAATTCTGCTCAGCCCCGGCTGCTGTCTGCTGGGCAGTCAGCCCCGGGGAAGACTTTTGTCCTGAGGCTGGACTTGCCAGGACTCCCCTCAAGGGCCAGGGGAGCCAGGTGGACCCCTGGGAGGTGGGACAGAATCCCATCCTGGTGCATCAGCCCAGGTGGCTTGCAGAGGCGTGAGTGGGAGGGCTGTATCTTTGTCAGGCTGTCAGGTCTCCTGCTGGTGAGAGGAGGATGGAAAATTAGCCGTAGGGGTAAGAGGTGTGCTTGTTAGGGTGACAGCTGTATCACAACTGGAGTGGTGGGGACCAGGGATGCAGTTGGGGTGGGTGCCAGCACTCCAGTTAGGGGAGTGATAAACGGGGTGGGGGGGACAGGTTCTGCTGGAGGGCTGGGGGCATCTATCTGTAAGACAGCTTTACTGCAGTTGAAGAACAGCTGCCAAGCTAAGGAACGGCCGTTGGGGTGACAGATATGGTGTACTGGGGTGACAAGTGAGGGGGAGATTCAGGATGAGCAGCTCCAAACCACTTAACAAGCAAACTGTACCGAACCCCAGCTTCCCCTGCTTCCCCTGCGGGCCCCAGGGCAGGCTGGGAGCCTCTGCACAAATCCCTGTCGCCCCCGCCCCCCTCCAGCCCTTAGCCACTGCCAGTGACCCTCTCCAAGCCAGGTCTCCATGGTGATCTCAGCCCAGCAGGCAGCTCCTGCCAGAACCATTCCCGTGGTGCCGGCGGCCAGGCAGCGGGGAGGCTTTCTCACCCTCTGCTAAGCCACCGCTGTCTCACCTTCCTCCTCCCACCGCCCTCCCCAGCTTTCATGACTTGGCCAGAATCTGGGGGATGGTGGGGGGGGTGGGGGATGGGGAGAGAATCAAAACCAGAGGCTTCTGAGCCAGGAAGGCAGAGTGCTGTGGCCATGTAGAACCTTGACCTCACTAGGTGCGACTTGCCCCGGCCCTGAAGCCATGCTGCTGGGCTAGGCGGCCCAGAGCTGGGCACTGGGGACAAAGAGAGGAAGACGGATCTGGTTCCTGCTCAGGAGGGGCTCCCAGGGCAGAGAAGGAAGCAAAGCAGACCCCCAAACCAGAGGCTCACAAAGCAGGGAGATGGGGGGACGGCAAGAGAAGCCCTGGGGGGCTCAGGGAACACATCTCACCCAGCTTTGGTGGGAGAGACTGACTCTTCCAACTCACTCTGAGCAGGGCGCCCAGCACACGCTGGGGTCAATGGTATACAGGGGCTGAATGACGGAGCTGTGACTGGTCTACGTCTGAGGGGGGAGTCAAGGTCCAGCTCAGATCTTGCACACCTCCAGACGCCTCCTCAGACCACCCTGTTACCATAGCTACTGAGGCCCTTGTCATTCCCTTCCGAGCTCCTCCCGGGCATCCCCGATGGAGCACGCGGCTAACGCCCCAGGACACCGGCCGTTGTTCACGAGACTTAACCTTTGAGTACCTCCATAATGAAGAGCTGCAGAGCTATATCCCACGGAGCCTGATGCTCCAGCAGTTTCACCTGGTCTGTGGGGCCAGGTCTCTCAGTGGCCTCTGCCTGTCAGTGGGGGCTGGCACTGGGGGCACCAAGGGAGAGCTGAGTTGAGCAGGAATTTAAAATGCTGAAGACCACGGATAAACCAGGTTGTCCAGAGATCTGCTCTCCCTGGCAAAAGGAGCACACGTTCGTGCATTCACTCAAGCAAACCAGCGGAGAGGTAGTCTAAAATATAGCCCCACCTTCGAGTCTCTACCCTCCAGAAAGGGGGGTCTCAACCTCAAATATGACAGTGGAACAGAAGGCAAAGAGTGCGTGAGAATTTGAGAGACCGATGTGCTGTGTGACCTAGGTCAAGTCCATGCCCTCTCTGGGCTCCAGTTTCTATACAAAATAAGGGGGTTGAACAGGGAATGGGAAAGATCTTTAGGCACTGAGATAATGTGCCAAAGACAAGGGGGTCAGAGACAAACCACAGCTGCCCAAAGGTGATCCATCCCGAGGTTTTCAGGCAAAATCTGGCCTGTGAGTCCATTAAATGTGGAGAGGACACGCCAACACGAGACCCAAAGCACACCTGGCAGATGGGGATACCCTCAGCTAGGCTGGACCCAGACATTGATGAGGGATGAAGCTTCCAACGGGCTGGGTAGGCTGTGGCGTGGGTGGGTGTGGCTCTCCCTGCTCCAGAGTTTTTCAGAATCCACCTACCAGTGACCAGAGGCATTCCTTCAACGCCAGTTCTGCCAGTCATACCCTCCGTTTAGGGACCCTCCGTTGCTTCCCCCCACTGCTGGGCACAGGGAGGGATGCTAGTGAGACAAGGTGGGGTTTACAGCCATGGCTGCCCACCCAGCTTGTGTGGCCTTCTGTGTATCTCTCACCTCTCAGAGCCTCACACTCCTTACCTGTCCTGGGAGGAGGTTATATATGTCCCCCTAACACCCATCTCTCGTCCCAATTGGAGTTGCCTGTGTCAGGACAGGTGTCACCCACAGGTAATGTGTTGGGTGTGCAACTGAATGGAAGCTGAGAAGTGGCAAGAACGTGGACCTGGGTGACCCCAAGGGTCCTCGCTGGCTCTTTGTTTCTGTGATTTCCTGCCTGGATGGCTGGGCGAGTCCCTCTTCCTCTCTGTAAACTTGGAGGGGCTGCACTTGAAGAACTCCAGGAGCCCGGTGAGCCATGAGAGTTGGAACTGGTTTATTTACACACCCCACCCTTGCTCCATCCTTGGGAGCGTATCTGGTAACAGCGGGGTTGAGAGAAACCAGCTCATGTCCTTGTCCCAATGCCTAACCCTTTCTCACAATTCTCCCTGGTCTACATGCCCTTCTTTGACTCAAGGGGAAAAAAAAAAAAAACACGAACCCTGACCTCAGAAATGTCCCAGGCACAATGAGACACTGAGGGGACAGTGCACAGAAATGAGTAAGCCCCCTAAAGGAGCTGATGGTGCAGTGAGGAAGTCATTCCCAGGAGAAGCTGTCACAGATGCATAAAAGGCTGCAGATTAATTGCGCCTGGGAAGGATCCTGGAACGCTTCTTGGAGGAGGTGGTGTCTGAGTGAAAGATAGGAACTGACAGGTGGGAGATGGATGGTGGCTAGGAAAGAGCGGCCCAGGCCAGGGAACAGCCAACAGCAAAGGGGCAGGCACGCTGGGGAAAGCTCTCTCCAGACCCCACAGTCTAGGGCTGGGAAGGGAGGCTGTGTGAGCAGGAAGTTGGGGCTGAAGAAGCAGCCTTGAATGCCTAGAACACCAGGATAGGAGGCTGAAGGGCTGAGGATGCAATCAGAAGGTGTTAAGCAATGAAGCCACAAGAGCAGATATGTCTGAATCAATTCATCCAGTAAATATTCAGGAGTGGGGAGCTGTCCAGACACAGCATCCCACAAAGCTGAAGGATATCTGGCAGCCACAATGGGGGTATGGGCTCCTGGGGTGGAGAGTGGGAGGATATTGGGGCAGAGACCTGCCAGGTGCTGGCTGGGCTGACCCAAGTGGCTGAGCCAAGGTTATAGCTTCCGAAGCCTCGAGTTTGTTCAAGACCCATTTTGCTGCCCCACCCCCCCAAGCTCTTCCTGCCAGTCCTGCCCCTGGTTCAAGAGGGTGGTCTCTAGTAGGTCTAGTGGGAGCGTCTTAGTCCCTCCCTTGGTAAGTGATGCCCATATGGATGCTTGTAATGAACACCCATTTAAAGGCTGCAAACTCCATGAGGGCAGGATACTGCTCATCTTGTTCAGTGGCTGCTTTAGTACCACATGCAATGTTCATCTTGTTCAGTGGCTCCTTTAGTACCACATGCAATGCCTGGCCCAGGCCAGGTGGTTCATTTGTGTGGGCTGAACCCAGAGTTAACCTACTTTCTCCTGCCCTCCGGCACCAACGGAGGGCACTATGGTAGCCAAAGTTAGAAGACAAAGTGACAAGGAAATCTTTTTTTTCAGATGATCTGGACTGAGACAGAGAACTGGTGTGGATAACTATGTGGAGAGTTTCCAGCTGACCTGGATCACGCAGCAGTCTGGGTCCTGTTGCCCATCAGGCTTTAGGTCCGCTGGGGTGGGACCTGTGACTCACCTTGACTCTGCACCCCCCCCCCCCCAGGGAGGACCCAGCCCCATTATTAAGGCATGTAACCAGGTGGTATTTCACAGCCTCCCAAACCCAAAGGCCCCGAACCTACACTACAATACCAGCTCCTTCCCAGGAAGGAAGCGGGGAGAGCAGGTGAAGGAGGGCTGGCTACAAGAGTCCTGAGCTTGGAGAAAAGGGTCATAGGTGTGTGACTCACACACACTGTGAGGAGGGATGTTATTCACTCATCTACCAACCACTGATTACGTGCTTCCTGTGTGCCAGGGACTGGGCTAAGTGCTTCAAGGGTAATCTCATTTAATTCCCACAAGAGACACAGTGAGGTGACATGACTCACCAGGTCACATGGTTGGGAAGGGATGGAATCGGGCTCTGCACAGAGGCCTGTCTGCACCCACAGGCCTGCTCCCAGCCACCACCCTCCAGCCTCCTTGGGTTCTTCCGGGTCCGCAGGGATGCGGGGAAATGGGAGAGGAAGGGCCTGAGAAGGCATGCTCACAGAGAGATTACATTTCCAGGAAATAAGGGCTCAGAACAAGAAGGCCTGGCCTGAAAATGGCTGTAGGAGAGGTGAGAGATAGGCCGGGAGTGAGGACAGCCCCAGACAGTGGGGAGAGGAGCCCGGGCAAGCCTGCCTGACCCCTGAGGTGTGGGCCTCTTGCTCAGGGCCAGAGGCAAGATCAGGTGACCTCTTGAGGTTTCAAGACGGGGAGAGACAAAGCCCAGAGCGGTCAGGGCCTGGCCCAGGTCCGGGCATGCCTGCTGACCCTGGCTGGCTGGTGGCCTTGGAAACTGCTTCCTGCCCCAGCTGGTATAACCTTGGAGGACCTGTGACATTTCTCTTGGCCTCAGGTCCAGACCCAAGAGGGAATGGGGAAGAGAGGGGGACTCGAGATCCCTGAACACCTTGGAGGGGCCCTTCCCACCCTCGCAGCCTGTCCCCAGGGTCTAGAAGGGGCTGATCTTCAGCTGTGAGGGCCCAAGGAGGAGCCAGTCTGTCTGGCTCTGCGTTCCATCTAAAGGACTAGGGAAGATGTTTGCCGGCCCGGGCGCCCCCCGCCCCCCTCCCTCCCTGTCAGCTCAGCTCCCAGACAGTCAGGTCCCACATTCCCCACTCTGGTTCCTCCCAGCTTTCTTCTTCTAACTCACATCGGGATGTGACCTGCCCCTGCCCGCAGTTTCCTCTGCCTGGAATCGCCCTTCCCCCAGTCTCTTGTGTGTCCACATCTTGCCTATCCTTCAAGGTTGAGCTCGGATGCAGCTTCTTTCACAGAACCTCAAAATCCGTTTAAAATGTCAGACCCAGAAAGAGCTGTGGGAAGTATCCAACCACTCCGTCATTTTGGAGGTGGGGAATCGGGTGCGGGGGACCAGCGAGGCAGAGTATCCAGGATCGGTGAGGGTGAGGAGCTGGGTTCAAATCCCGACTCTGCCGTTTCCTACCCATGGATTCCCTGGGCAAGCTTCGGAGCTGCACCTGCGTTCCGAGAGATTTGACTCACTGAAGGAAGAGGCAAGTACCCCGACCCCTCAGGCTGTTGTGAAGGGCCAGTGAGGCTGTGTTGTACAAACGGCCCAGCACGAATACACATCCCTTTTCTTACCAAAGGGACAGAGAGGTGACTTCGGGCCGTGGCCCGCCTTCCTGGTGCATGAGGTTTGCTTTTCCCTACCATCTCACACCCAGATGCTTGAGGCTCTTTGTGGGCTTGGGTTAGCTTTCATGGGCCCTCGAGGACACGGGCTGTGCCTGGCATCGGGACAGGCATCGGAGGGTAGGTGGGGGTGATGCTCAAGATGTGAGGTTGAGCTCAGTGACTTCTCCCGCACCCGGCCCTGGGTCAAAAGGGCTCGCTGCCCTGCTGGTGAATCAGTGTCACTGTCCTCCTTGTTTAAGCCCTCTGTTAACAAGCGCCACTCCCTCTGTTAACTCTTCTTCCTCACTGTTCTCCTTCCCTGCATCCCCAACACTTCCTCACTCCCCACAATGCTTTTAATCAGTCCTTGGCACTGGGAGCGGGGGTTGCCCGAGATGAGGGCGGGTGTGCCATCTTGGATGAAGAAGGGGGGACAGCCCTCCTGCCATCACGACGGTCTAAGCCAGCAACCACTGCTTGCCTGAGCTACCGCAGCCGGTCTCCCTCCTGCAGCACCTGCCTGCTCCGCCGCCGCGGTACCTCCGCTCAGAACCCTTCAATGGTTTCCCATTTGTCTTGGAACAAACTTCAAATTCCTTCCAATGGCTGCATGATCTGGCCCTGCCTCCTCACCCCGTCATTAGCGTTACTGTCTTCCCATCAGGTCGTCAAAGCTGAGGTGCTTTTTTGGCCTCCGGGCTTTACCCACTGCCATTCCCCCTGCCCCGAATGCTCTTCCCCCATCCCTATCTAGCTGACGCCCCTTTATCTTTCAGGCATCAGCTCAGCACCTGGCCAGCCGGCTGCAGACCTTTACAGCTTCCTGGCTTTTATTCTCTTGCATGGTCCTTCCTATGGCCATATTACCAAATGCTTTGTGTTCTTCTGTTTTCCCATCTTTCCCTCTAAACTGGAAGCCCCCTGAGGACCAGGGGCTCACTGTGGTGTTCACTGCTGTGTCCCCAACGCCTGGCAGGCAGTGGGTGTTGGATGGATGTCTCTGGAACAACTGAGTGCCTCGGTCTGAGGACTAGTGCTGTCAACTCCCAGCTCTGAGTGGGGAGCGGGCCAGAATGTGGGGCTGGATGGCGTCCCAGTTCCTCCTGCATTCAGGCCTCGCTGGGTGGTTCCATTATGTATCTCACTGAGCCGTGACCTGCCCAATAACCCAGCCCCCACATCGGTTTATTTTCCCACCCAGAGCCCGTGAGGAAAGGTTTTCAGATTATTTCACATTTTCTGGATTATCCACAAGACATCTTCCCTCCAGTGAGAAGGATCAAGAGTTTGACATTTTAAGCCCTAAGCAGCTTCTCCCTGGCCTGCTTCAGATCTGTGGCTCTGCCGCTTGCAGTGAGGTGCATGGGGAATGGAAGGCCATTTTAATCTTGGTTTGGCTTCATTATGAGGAAAAATATGCTGCCCCCAAGAAAGTCTGGTCCATTCTCTATGCCATGCAGAGTTTCAAGAACCCAAAAGATTACCAAAGTCAATTTCCTTGAACAGATGGGGAAAGAGAGGTGGGGGGGGGGGGGGGGGGGGGGGGGGGGGGGGGGGGAGGAGGAGGGGTAAAAGCTTGGTCAAGGGCATGTAGCAAGTTGGCCAATTGAGGAATGGTCTTTCCCCAGGCCTCCTGACTCCCACGTGCTGCCCTTTGCCATCTCCATGCACCAAGGGAGCTGAGGTCAGGCAGAGAGGGGGTAGTAAGTTGCCACTGACATGACTTCAGGACCCTGAGTCACCTTGGCCTCGAATGGCCTTCCCCAAGCAGGGATGGGGCTTTCCAGAAGCCCTGCCATTCCTTCTCCAGGAACAGACATTCCCAGGAGGCTGCAGCAGTCGCAGAGGTGTGAGGTGGGGTGAGAGGCTCAGACAGACCCCCAGCCCACTCCATCACTATGCACCATGTCCAGGTCAATTCTGCGACAGGTCTGTTCCAAAAGGAGGAAATGAAGGGCCAGTTATAGCTACATTTCTGGAGCAGACTGTTCATCAAGAAAATGATTCCTTCAACTCTGTCCTTTTAGACCATTTTGGGGGCATTTCCCCCTCTTTTATTTTCTTTTTCTTGAACACAAAATCTTAAAAGAATACTGAAGGAGGTGACAGTACCTGATAAAACAGTATCTAAATACGTAACAATACTTAACTGAATTCTTAAGGAATGAATTTGGTTTCAGGAAAGGGCCTGGGATTTTTTTGGTAGGAAACATCCTACCTGGGGACAGACCCACTAGCTGGAGGCTCCCAGACAGTGAAATCCCAATACCCCTGTGGAAGAACAGCCTTTGGGGTACCCTGTGAGGCCAGAAAAGGACATCCTAGCCACAGCCTCAGCCTGGCCTTTGTCAGACCGCATCTTAAATTAAATGAAGTTCCCAAGGAGACAAGGAAGCCTGCAGGATCAGGATCCTGGATGGGCCTTCATGGGTAATTATCCAACCTGCTTTTTCCTTCATCTGTCTCATGCAGAGTGATGCAAACACCCTCCCTTACAAGAGGTCAAGTGATGAGTGTGTGCTGGGACTCAGGTGGTCTCTGCTCAGGACTGAGCATGGCTAAGGGGAACGGACACCTGATGAACCAAACCAGATGGCTCCATCCTGTCTACAGTCCTCCAGCCATTTCAGTAATGGGACCCCTGAATGTCTAAGCCCCATGCTGGGTTCACTACCCAAGCACTCACCTCCTCCCTAAGACTGTTCCCCCCCCAAAAAAGACCGTTCCCAACAGCTAATGCCAGACTCCCTGAATCCCAACTCCCTGTCCTATTGTCAGGTCCCTAATCTTGCCCTCAAGTCCTTCCAGCTCGTGGCTATCCTTCTGCCCCCTGCCCAAGCTCTAATGTCTTCATGCCTCCCCAGCCCCAGCCCCCCGGTTTCTTCTGCCCACTGCACCCACATCCTCAGACTCACCCAGGAACAAAACCTCGAGGTCCAGTCGGCACTTCAGTTGGCACTACAGGGAGGTGACGGTGAATGTGTCCTCAGGGTGAGGTTCCGCCATGGGCCCCAGGAAGCCGCTCTTGGGGCCCCCACCCAGGCCGGGATGCGCCTGCGGCATAAAGCCTGGATACCTGTAGGCGGTATCCTGCAGGGGCAGCAGCGAGTCCCTCGGCACGGGGGACAGGGTCAAGTCACTAAGAAGTGGGCACCCATAGCCAGCAGCGGCTGCAGCGGGGCCACGGGGTGGGCCGGGCGGCCGGGCCATCTCCAGCGGCTCCTTGTCGGCCTTGGGTGTGGCCGGTGGGCTAGCCAGGTGTGGGGCACTGAGGCACGCGGCCTCCGTCCTGCCCAGGAAGTCAGCCAGCAGCCCTGAACCCACCTTGCCTTCGTAGGGTGGGCTGCGGGCAGCTGAACCTGGCGGGTACCAATACGCCGTACCCTTGCAGCTGGGGGAGTCGTAGTGAGGCTGGCCCAGCGGCAGGTCCCGGCAGCTCAGGTGGGCCTGGGCTGCAGCCGCGTGGCCCAGGCTGGCCCCCTGGAGCCCGTGCTTGAGGGGCTCACAGGCAGCCAGCTTTGTGGGCGGCGGCCGCAGCTCTTCCTTGAAGCCCAGGGTGGGTGAGCAGGTGGGTGAGTATGCCTTCTGCAGACCTGTATCAAACACCGTGGGCGGGTGGGCCAGCGGTGGGAAATGCTTGCCATCCAGCTCAGGGGCACCCAGGCTAGGCGAGTCGCAGTGGAAGCCTTGGCCGAAGGTGCCATCGGACGGCGTGGATGGGTTCATGGAGTAGGGTCCCATGAAGTCACAGGGGTCTCGCTCGCCCACACTGAAGGCCCTCGATTGGGAGGGCAGCGGGGACATGCTGCTGTCCCCACTGTAGTAGTCCAGGCCGAGGTCCGGGCTGTCCTGGAACAGGGGGTTGACGGGCTGCGGCTTGGGGATGAACTTGGCTTTGGCCGCCGCCCCGCCCCGCTCCTTCTTGGCCGAGCAGGCGCCACCGCCCCGGCCACCCCGAGGCTGCCGGGGCCCCGTGCTCCGTTTGGACGGGTAGCCCGAGGCAGTGGTCGAGGCGGACGACGGGAAGCCCAGATGCGAGGCCTCGAACAGGTCCACCTTCTTCCGCCGGCCACGGCCAGGCTTGGAGCTGCTCTGGAAGAGGACGCTCTGGTTCCAGTTGTAACCGGGGGCGGACGAGGCCTCGTTCCAGTCCATCATCAGTTTCTCCAGGCTGGACAGGCTCGACTGGCCCTCGCTGCTCGAGGCCTCGCTGTTGGCACGCCGGAAACCGCCGCCGACCGGCTGATTGAATTGGGTGCTGTCGGAGGAGGACTCGGAGAAGGTCTCAGACACAGCTGTCTGCTGCTTCACCTTCTGCGGGGTATAGTTGGAGATGTCCAGGATCACGTTGGGCTCGCTGACATGGCAGTCGAAGCCGGGATTGTAGAGCTGACTGAAGGCCTCCGAGGCCCAGTCCAGGCCTCCGTAGCCCTGCCGGAAAGGCCACTGAGAAGCCCCCGCAAACTGCCGACAGTTCTCAGGCGAGGGCTGGAAGGATGAGGACGACGAGGAGGCGGCGGAGGTGGCAGAGGCCGTGGTGCCCTTGGGCACCATGTAGCCGCCGGGCGAGACCGTGCTGGCCCGGCTGTCACAGCGCAGAGGTGTGGGGGCTGAACCAGAGAAGGGGGCCCCCTCAGAGCTGTTGAAGAAGGAGGCCTTGCTTGGTGGCAGGCAGGGGCCACCGGTGGGCGGTGGGGCGTAGCCGGCGCTGTGGGCGCTGCTGGGTGAGGCAGGTAGGCTGTTGCCGCTGCCGTATGCAAAGCTGCAGTCCTTGCTGTTAGCGCAGTCCTGGCCCGTGAAGGGCTTAGCCGGGGCAAATACGCTTTGTCCAGCCCCATAGCCGCCGTACTGCGGGGGATAGGTGTTGGCCGGCGGGTGGGTGGTAGGTGAGCGGGCCACGGCGGAAGGCGGGGGCGCCAGCTTGGGGAAGGTCTCTGCAGCCCGGCAGTCTGAAGTGGCCGGGGTGAGCCCATAGCTCGCTGCCCGCCCGGGTGGGAAAGTCTGGCGAGCGGACAGCACCGGCTGGAAGGAGGGCTCAGCCCCAGCCCCGCCGCTGCCCACGGCTACTGGGCTGGCCTTCGCTCCCCGGCTGGGAAAGGTGGCCAGGCCCCGCTGGGCAGGCAGGGTGCTGGTGGGGGGCCCTGTGTAGGTGCCTGATGCCTTCCGGGACTCGGGCCGAGAGGCCGAGAGAGCAAAGTCCAAGAGGTCGGAGGAGTCGTCGGAATCGAGCAGGGAGCGGAAATAGCCGGTGAAGAGGTTTTGCCGCTCCTGGCTGAGCTCGGCCTGGCCCGCGGGTGCGGCCGCACTGTAGTAGCTGCCACGGCCTGAAGCCCCGCTTTCTAGTCCAGTGGAGGCAAAGGCCCGGGCCTCGGTCCCCTGGAACCCACAGTTTCGGCCAGCCTGCCCGCCTGGGTGCCCGTGGTGAGGGGCCCAGCCGCCACCCTTGTCCCCGGCCCACTCAGTGCCCGCCTCCCCGAAGCCGGGGCCGCTGGGCACCTGCTCTGGGAACAGAGTCCCGTTCTTCCGGGACCGCCTCTTGCGTTTGGGCTTCCCAGTTACGGCGTCTACCTCCCCCCGGCCTCGCTTGCGCGGGTGCCCCAGCTCGGTGAGGCCAGGGCCCCCGACCCCCGCGGCTGCCACGGCCACCACCTTCTTTTTCTTCCCGATGCCCTCAAAGAAGTCACTGAAGGAGCACCGGGCGGCCTTGGCTGCATGGCCCCCTCCCCGGCCACCGAAGCCGCCTGCTTTGCCACCTCGCCGACGGAAGCCCTGTACGCGATGTAGGAAGTGGGAGATGCTCTGGGTGTCGGGCGCCTGGTGCACGGACTCGGGTTCGCTGGGCGTCCAGCAGCGGGGCGGGGAGCACCGCCCGGCACACTGACTCTGACGGTTCAGGAAGGCCAGCTTGGCGAGGACGTCTGAGTACTCGGCCTTGCTGTCGTTGGCGTCCGCCGCGTAGGACGGCTGCGGGGACGCCAGCTTCTGCTTCCGCCGCCGGCGCTTCTTTACCTCCGGCATGGCCATGCTGGCTGCTGCTACGGTGGCCGCCTCGGCCGCCACCACCACCGGCTCCTTGGGCTTGCCGGGGCCCAGCAGCAGGTTCTTGGGAGGGCGGCCGCGCTTCCGCTTGAGAATGATGGGCATCTCGCCGGGTGGGAAGACCACCACCACGTTGCGGCCATTGTTCTTCATCTTCAGCAGCGGGGTGGGCTCGGCGGACACGCGCAGGCCCAGCTCTTTGCCCTCCACGCTCAGGCTGCTGCTCAGAGATGACACTTTGTACGTGGTCTTGTTCCGCCGCCCCAGGGACACGGGGATCTTGGCCATCTTCACCACCATGCGCCGGACGCCCCGGCACTTGCCTTTGCGGGGAGGGACCACAGGGGTCTGGGAAGCTTCGGGCTCCAGCTCCGGGACAGGAACTGGCCCGGGCAGGGCAGGAGGCGGTGGAGGAGGCGGCGGGGGTGGCTCGGCCAGTGCGGCGGCCAACCCGGTGGGCATAGGCAGGGGGAGCAGGCGGCCCTCGGAGCCAGCATCTGCCTTGCGTCCCCGTCCGGCTTTCCGTCGGCGACACAGGATCTTTGGCCTATCGGTGCGCCGCAAGGCGTATTTGGGGTGACCCTCAGGCCCCGGAGGGCCATGGGGTGAGCACAAGTCCAGGCGCAAGGGCTCGGCCAGTGGACAGGGTCCCAGGGGCTGCTGGGGCTCCAGGCGGCGGCCGGGGACGTCAAGCAACTTGGGCAGGGGGTCAAGTGCCTGCGGGTCAAGCAGCTGCGACTCCAGGGAGTCGGGCAGGGTGTCCAGAGCCTGTAGCGCCAGGCTCGGCAACCCCAGAGGATCAGCCAGGGGCTGCAGGGGCGGCAGCTCCAAAGCTTCCCCGAGCGGCTCTAGAGCCTGCGGGTCCAGGAAGCGGGGTTGGGGGCCCAAGAGCTGAGGCTCGGGCTCAGGCGACGGCGGCTCGAGGGCCTGGGCCTCCAGCAGCTGGGCCTCGGGGCAAGTGAGGGAGGCCAGCTCACTAAGGATGTCGGCGTCAGCGAGCTCTGAGTAATCGGGCCCGTCGGGCTCAGGCTCTGGTGGCAGACCAGTGGCCGCGGCCGTGGCTCCGGGACTGTGGCCTTGGCCGGGCTGGGGGCTGTCCTGAGGCTCAGGCTCAGGCTCGTACAGGGGGTGGCTGGGCCTCTCGGACTTGGTGTGGGGGGTGGCCCGCTCCTCCGGGCTGCGGATGCTGTTGGCCAGGCTGGGCGAGGAGAAGAAGCTGTACTGCAGGTCCCCGGGGGGCGGGGCCGGGGGGCGGCTGAGCCGGAGACCACCACAGTCCAGGTGCACGCCGCTGTGCTGCAGGTCCTGGGAGAGCCGGGTCAGGTCCTTCATGATGTCGATCAGCTGGACCACCGGACGCAGGGTCGCCCGCCCGTTGTCCCAGCGCCTTCGGGAGCTGCTGCTGCTGTCTCCCGCGGGTGTGGGGCAGCGGGCCTGGGAGACAGGACGGGCCGCCCTCGGGGGCAGCGGGTCGTCCCCCTTGGCAAGGACTGGTGGGCGCCGGGTGCTGGGGTCCCGGCGTGGGGGTGGGCGTGGGTTCTCGGAGAAGGTGTGGGCGAAGGCCTTGTCGGGTGGGCTGGCGGGGGGCCGGGCGGGAAGCAAGGGCCGGGGGGTGGGGGGGCCGCCGGGGTAGTACTTGGGCTCCCGGAGGTAGTCAGGAGAGCTGCACACGGCACTGGAAGTCACCACCAGGCCCTGGGGCTTCACACGCATCCTGACCTTGTCCTCCGAGGGCCGCCGGGCGGGGCCGGGACTGACATGAGGGTGCGAGAAGCCGGGACCAGGACCTGCCGGGTGGGACAGGCAGCAGGTCCCTCCTTGAACACCCAAGCCCCCATCAGCTTTCCATGTCCCCCGTGGCCCCCTGCACCCCTCTCCTGAGTCTGCTCCCAAAGCCCAATCCCTCTGGTGACCTTCAGCATTTCCTAAGCCACCATGTGCACCATGAACCCCCATGGGCCCCAGTTCCACTTCCTGACAGTGCACCCACTTTTGTCTAGACCTGGGCTAAGGACTGGGGGAGAATAATTCACCTGCTTTTGAGAGAGATGCTTATGAACGGGGTGGAGCAACCACTCCAGAGCAAATTTAAGGAGGGGGCCTGGAGGTCCTATCAAGGACATGGCCTCTTCCTTCTTGCCCCATCCCCCAGGCAAACCCTGGCCACTCACCCTCGGCTCTGCCGCCTGGGCTGTCACACTGGAGATCTCTGTGGGCGACAAGACAGATAAGAAACCATCTCAGTGGTATGGGAGCCATAGATCCCAACCACTGTCCACCTGCCCATGGGGCCCCATCTCCCCCCACACCCCAACCCCAGCACCCCAGGAACTCTGGCTGACCTGGAAGAGAGAGGGCCCCCGTGCCTGGGGGCTCTGCCAGTCGCTGGCTGTCAGCTGGGGGTGTTGTGAAGCAACTTTGGCCTGAGCCCAGGCCTCGGGGTGTGGACAGCGCCTGGAAAGGACCATCGCAGCTCAGGTTTAGTGAGCACCTACTGGGCGCCAGGCACTGGGCTGGAAGCTGTCCAGGCATCGTTTCATTTAATTCTTCATATCAATCCTGTGAGGTAGGGGCTATTAATAACCCCATTTTGCAGATGAGGAAATGGAGGCTCAGAGATGAAGTAACATTCATTCATTCATTCATATACTCATTATTTGTGAAGTGCCTACTGTACACAAACACTGGGTAGACAAACACTGATGAGACAATCATAAGTGATGTAATTATTAGTGGGATAAGAGCAGCAGAGAAAAACTTTAGAGCGCCTGAGGCCGGAGGTTCAACAATCATACCAGGAGTCAACAACAATAAAAGTTCATGCCCTGGGGGCACTTTCTCTGTTGCCAGACATTGGACTAAGTTCATTATATGGATTATCTCATCTAACCCCCCCTGCAAACCTGAAATCAATACGATTATCACCCCCACTTTTACAGTCAAGGAAACCATCCATTGGAAGGTGGTAAGCACCATGAAGGCAAGGATTTCCGTTCTGCTGACTGTCAAGTGTATATCCCCCAACACCATGGCCCATAAATGTGCTTCAAAAAATATCTACTGAACGAATGAGGCACACAGAGCAATCAGCCTTTCTCCATAAGGCTCTCTCTCATTCTTCTCCAGACCCCAAAGTGGGACCCAGGTAGGATGTGGAAGAGGGAGGGAGATTAAGAACGTGAAAAGGGACATTCTCTGCTCCCCTGCCACCTCTAGCCTCAGCTCGGCCCTGCCACGTACTTTCAGAGCCCCTTTTATTTCCCCTTCACAGTATTTACCGGGACTGTAGTCAATTACTTGTGTGACTGGCTGTTTAGTGTGCCTTCTCCCCGAGTGTGGGCTCTCAGGGGTAAGGACAGAGTCTGTCTTGTCTACCGTTGTATCCCCTGATCCCAGGGCCTGGGCTCTGGATGCTACGTAAACATTTACTGAGCAACTCCCTCAGCTGGTAGGGCTGAGCTGGGATTTAGATCCAGGCAGGTCTGACTCCCAGAGGAACTAGGGACTCAGGGCCCTGGCTGATCCCCAGGAGCTGGTTTGGGGGAGCAGGAAGATGAATGGGCCCTGATCACTGGGAGGATCACTTTGAACTTCACAGGAATACAGTAGATTGACTGGGGGACAGGGAGGTGTGGGCAGGGCCACTCGTCCACTCCCCTCTGGTGGGCAGCAACATCCCATCTACAAAGCATCTCCACATATATGACCCACTGCATCTTCAGTGAACCAGGGAGATGTGGATTATTACCTCCATGTTACAGAGGAAGCAGGTTCAGAGCAGTTGTATAACTTGCCTGAAGTCACATAGCTGCTAAGTGGCAAGATTTCTAATTCTGCCAAGTCCAAAGCCTCCTTCCACTCCCAGCTCCTGCAATGCTCCTCCGGCCACTCCTGAAAGTGCTTCTTCTAGAGCTGCGGTCTAAATTAAGGCTGGGAGGAACCTTAAAATCACCTAACCCTTGGGCTTCCAAACCCTGGGCCTGGGGAGCTGTCTAACCTTCCAGATACCCAGACCCTAGTCCAGGGAGTCTGACTCACAAATCTGAAGGGACATTTGGGAACCTGGTGGTTTTTTTTTTTTTTTTTTTGGGCTGCACTGTGCAGCCTGTGGGATCTTGTTCCTCAACCAGGAATCGAACCTGTGCCCTCTGTAGTGGAAACATGGAGTCTTAACCACTGGACCACCCTGGAGAAGGGGAAGGCTACCCACTCCAGTATTCTGGCCTGGACAATTCCATGGACTATGTCCATAGGGCTGCAAAGAGTTAAGACAGGACTGAGCGACTTTCACTTCACCCAGGAAGGCCCTGGGAATCTGCATTTTTAATTGGCTCCCCCAGTGGGTACACAGTTCCAGTGTCACCTCATGCCCCTCCCATTTTTCAGACAAGGAAACTAAGACTGAAGAGGGAAACAGACTTTGCCCAAGACCACAAGATAGCGTGGGGAGGGGGGGCCCCAGTGTGCTGCTCATCCAAGCAGAACACCCCCATGTCTCTTCAGCTCCCAGGCCGCAGCTGTTCCTCACTGTCCCATTTACTAGATCACTTCGGGTTCTGTTCTCTCTCATGCCCGCCTGCAGACTGTGGTCGGGCCCCTTCTAGGCCAGGCCCTCTCTGCTTCAAGAATCTCACCTCCGCTCTTGCGGGAAGAACTGTGGGTAAGACACTCACGAAGCAGGGAAGGGGCTCAGACTCTGGAATCTCCGGGTCCTACTTCCAACAGCAAGGCTGACCCGTGGCTCCCGCTGCCCTCCCAGAGATGCCTACCACAAGCCACCGCCCCTCTCTCCGGAGGGTGGGGCTCACCAACTCTCCCTGCTCTGGAGACCTCCCACCGGGGGCCTGAGGGTGTGACCTTGGCAGAAGAGACAAACCGCCTCTCCAGCGGCTGCTTCTGTTCCACCCACCCGTGAAGACCTCTGGGCGCGCCGTCCTGCCAGACCTCCTGACTGTCCACAGCCTCCAGGATCTGAGGGAAGCAACTGGCTCCCCTCCCCACCACACCCAGGCAGACGTTTTCTTGGACCCCCTCCCAAGGGTACCACCTATCCCTACGTCTGAGAACAAAGTCGCAAAGGTTTCTCTGTCCGTCGTCTGTCTGCTTCTGGGTCAGTGTGTCTTGAGCCTGCCTGTGGGGACACCCGCCGGCTGGGAGGGGGGCTGGGGGCCCCAACCTGCTGCGCGCAGTGCCGGGAAGGGCCAGCCCACATCCTTGAGTCCCCAGCCCCACCCTCCCCCGCTGCGGCTCTGACCACCCCACCCCTTCCCCAGCCAGCCTCCCCCTCCCCCACCCGCAGCCTCCCCAGGGGAGCCCGGCTCCCCCACCCCGCACACACCATTTCCCTCCCAGCCCGGACTGAAGGCCCAGGGATGTCCTCAAATGGAAAACTAGGCCTCAAAGGGGGCTATCACTGCTGCGGTGAAACCTCCCGTCAATCACCTCCCTTGGAGGGGGGCCTTTATCTGCCAGGACCACCCCCACTCAGGAACTATGTACGCCCCCAATTTCCTTCTCTTCAGCCCCCTCCCACCCACCCACCCCTGAAGATCTCCTTCCAACCTGACTCCGGACCAGAATCGTTACCAAAAAAGTAACAATGATGAAAATAACAACGGGCAGCTGTCACTTATTTGGCAAGTAAATGAGGCTCAGAGAGGTTAAGAAAAGCCCTTAAGGGCAAACAGCCATGACAGGGAAGAATGTCTGTACTTGGGTTAGCTGAGCTCCTCTGAACCAAACTTCTCCACTGTCCAGAGTCAGCCCCCTCCCCTGCAGCTTCCTCGAACTGTCTCGGTCCCAACGACCAGTTCTAATTTTTGACTTCTAAATCTACCCCCTCCTCTCAGCTTCTTCACCCCTCCCACCTAGGTCATTCAATGCACTACCCTCCCTCACCACTAGGTGTCCCCTTAGAGCCACTGATGCCCCCAAGGGGAGCAAGCCCCGCCCCACCCCCTGGAATCATCAGGGCCACCCCCCCTCAATAGCACAGCACACCCCACCCCACCCTACCCCCAGCCACACAGAGCTCCTTTGTGCAGCCCTTGCCCACCCCCTTCCTGCCCGGAGCAGGGCACCTGGCAAGCAGGTCTGCCCTAGACCTGCCCCCTGCCAGCCCCCTGCCCTGGGTGCCAGGTGTGTGGGCACCACCGCCAGCTCTGGCTGAACCCGAGGGTCACCCTGCTGGGCGGCCCTCCCTTCCTCTCTCCGAGGTCACCCAGGGACTGTGCTTCCCGCCTGCTCCGCCCCCATCCCCTCCTGCCCTTGGCCCTTCCAGACTCCTGTCCTTGTCTTTCCTTCTGTCTCCCTGAGGACACCCCTCCTCCAGCCCCACCAGGCCCTCCCCACAGCCTCACCACCGCCCACCTCCTTCCCCTGAGAGCTCCTTGTTCCGCCCCCCCCCCCACCCCTCCCCGCCCAGGTTTAAAAAACTCCTCCTCCTGGAAAGTTGCTGCTGGAAAGGAAGTGACTTCAGCAGTTTGGCCACAAGGCTGGGCACTGCTGAGCCCAGCTCAGCTGAAGCCTTGCCCAGCCCACCTCCAAAGCACAAACGGAGCCACGTGCACACACCTCCCCCAGTGTGTGCAGCCAGAACCCTGAACACACGCTTCCCTGGTGACACGCGGAAGAACCTCTGTGTACACGACCCACCCCACCCAGTGTGTACTCATGTATCACCCCGGTGTATTCAGAGTCTTGTCTACACACCTCTCCAGTGTACACTAGCAGCCTGCCCAGGAACACCACCCAGCATGGCACGCACAACACTCTCGCCTCCCCACACCTGCACAAGACACACCCTCAGTCCTGCACACTCACTCCCATGTACCACGTATGCAGCCTGTGAATGTCTCCCAGCCCAGTCCACCTAGACTTTTACGAACAGCACCCTGCACACCTCAGGACAGAGTCCTACACAAGCCTGCTTGCACACAAACTGGAGCACCTGCACACGAGATGCCCTGAACATTTACAGTTGGGTACACCCAGCTCTGACATCCCCACCCTGACAATCCCGGGAGACTCCACCCCCCAGACCTCAGGCCCCAGGAATGCTCTTTTGGAAGCTGGGTGGGGTCCCCAGGCAGGCTGGGCTCTAGGGAGCTTCCTGGAGCCTGAGGCTCCATGTGTCAGTTCGGGGAGTTGCCTCTCCACCTGGTCTCTGGCTCTCCAGCCTGCCTGGGTGGGCTTATCTGGGCCCAGGGTTGGGAGGTGGTTCCTGCCCCTGCCCCTGCCCCATCTCATCCCAGGAGGGCAGCCCAGCGTACCTCTACTCCCCAGGTCCGCTCAGCTTCCACAGACTCTAGGAGAGAGGGGTCCTGGGGGGGTCAGCTTCACACAGCAGGCATTCTGTTTTCTACCTCTGCCCTGGGTTCTGGTCACTGTCACAACCCCCTTTGCTTCCTAGTTCAGGTTATCCAGGTGCAGGTCCCCCAACTAGGAGGAAGGACTCAGGGGAACCGGCTGTATATCCATGGACCTCGCCTTTCTGGATAATGGGGAGTCTGAGGAAGTGCGGTTAAAGTATTTTGATACTAAAGGGCCTCTTTTTGGCTTAAGCTGGGAAGGGGGGATCCCTGATAGGATTGAGAAGGAAGTACCCCTGATCCCCACTTCCTGGGGTAGCCGGCAGACCCAGCTTCTCTGTACACTGTTACCTGAGCAAGCTGTGCAGACAGGCCCAGCTCAGCAACAAAGGCCTGTCTTCACCAGTGATTCCAGGGTGGTCTCTTCGGCAGCCTGAGAATCGCCCCGAACCCGGGGCCCTCTGCACGCACTTAGCTGGGCAGGCTCTGGGGTCCAGGCCAACGGGTAGACAGGCAGGCAAGCTCCCATCTGTGAGAACAAAAACAGCACCCCAGACATAAGCACGGATACAGGATGGAGGGACCAGGAGGCCATCCTAGGTGGGTCTAGTCTTGCACAGAAATTGGCTCCAACCTCATTTCACTGGGGACTATTAACTATATCTTGAAACCCCAGGCAGTATCTGCATGGGCAGATATGTATGCATGAACAAGAACACATATGCTATGGTGAAAAGAACCTGGTCTTGAGAGTCAGAATGGTCCTTGGCTCAACTTTCATCACCTGTGTGATCTGAGGCAAGTCAGTTAACCTCTCTGGCTCTCAGTTTCCTAATCTATAAAATAGGGAGAGTTTATGAACGGGGAGAAGTGCTCTAGGCAAACTATAAATGCTAAGAGCTCACTTACAATGCAGGTGTGAGAGTTACTGTTCAAAGTGACGGTGACTGCAGATTTTCATGAGGGGTATATACACAGCTGGCATTTACCCTTCTCCACCCGAGACTGGTTCTCTCTTTTGTTTCCTTTAATAACTAGGGCCCTCCTCACCCCCTCTGCTTCCTGCCCATTTGTCTGCCTCCCTGAGGTTTGTACTTGAGCCCCGAGGGGTCTGGGAACCAGGCCTCATAGACTGCTCATAGGTTTTGGTTGCCTGGGAATGTGTGTGTACATGCATGTTAAAGAGATCCTGCATGTCTTTGAGCATTCAGCTATCTGGGCAAATGCACCTGTGTGTGGCTTCCTGGGTCTGCTAGGCCTTCTGTATGTTTCTCTGTGTATTTCCGTATGTCTATGCAAGTATATATGTGTTTAAGAGTGCCCATGTATAGGACTGTCTGTGTGTGTGTGAGCTGATATTTACTGGAGTTGGTGTCTTCACTTATACATGTGGGTGTGTGTATCTGGGTTTGTTCAGTTCTCTGTGTGTGTTCAGCTAAGTCTATGTTTGCACACCTATGGGGACACACAGATATATGTGCCTAATGTGTGAGCAGGTGTACCCAGCTGTGATTGGGGCATGCGTGCCCATGTGTACACACTCTGCATCTGGCCGTGTCAGGAGCTGAACTGACTTCTGCCCATTTCCGATTCTCTGGGCTTGTGCATTGGGGTGGGGGTGGGGGTGGGGGCGGGTGGACCCTCTGCCGTCCCCACAGGTTTCCAGTCTTGAGGCCAGTGAGTGGGGTCACTGGATCAGTGCCGTCTCCCTCCTTCCCGCTGCCTTTCTCTGGGTTTTCAGGCTCACGGTGCGCTTGGTCACCGTGTCCCTG